CACCTACTGGGCGGCTCACACAAGCCATTGCAAAACCTCAGCACCGCACGGATATGGCGGAGCCAACAGAGTTGGGCCCGGGCTCCCGGAACGCCGAGAACGAACACCATCACCCTCCACGACCGCACCTCTGCTCGGCATGTAGCCAGATCGATTCCAAAGCTCTTTTCAAGACTCACAAGGCTCGCCTTGACGTGGTATCGAAATATTACAAGCTGCCCCATGAATGTAAATGTTTCGAGACAATTGAGAGTCGTGAAAAGTGCGGCTGGCCAGACTCCGAGGGGGGAGACGAATCCAACCCACAGTGCTCCTTTTGTGCATTCTAAAAAGACTGCTTACTTCGATCCAAAGATATCAACCGTCAAAATGGGGAAGTAGTCAAGTTCCCTTATTATTTGAGACCTTTTCATTCCTTGAAGTGGTATTGGGTAGAACATGAAGGATGCTCGTCAGACAGGCCCAAGGGCTTTAGAGGAGATTATTGTGAACATTACGTGCAAGATATTTTGGCGCTGCAGTTCGGTTCAGGGACATTTTATCCGGGTCTTGGAACCTATTATAGCCGCGATGGCGAGTTTGAGATGGGGCATGCCATTCTGCGTGTTGTGGATGACGGGCCAAATTTTGGTGCGTTGACGAGGGTTAGAGAGGCTGGGGGCGGATTATTGGCAAGAATCTTGCCCGATCAGGTCAACTACAATCTCATTGGGGAATGGGTAAGTCTTTGCCACTTGGGACATTCGCAGTGCCATGGCGACGACGGCGGTGATGGTGAAGTGATCACGATCCCTGTATTTTGCGTCATTGATTTTGCTACAGGGAATATCGTTTCGGTGGTCGAGACACTGAGGAACGCTGAAAAACACGACATGGTGGACTATGTTAATCTGGTTACGTCTGGGGTCAGGCGGGGTGCAGCGGTTCTATCTTGGGGGAAGACGGCATCTCTCTACCGGAAGAGATACCTCTGGTCATCAGCGATGCCAGAGGTTGTCAAGAGGCTTGGATACAGATACCTTTGGATCGATCGGTATTGTATTCCCCAGCATGACTTCCCAGTCAAACAACTTTTGATCCGCAATATGGAGAAGATTTACCCCTGCTCTACCTTAACAATAATTGCGGCAGCCGGGGAGGGGCCGAAGTATGGGCTCCCGGGAGTTAGTACGCGCCATCGTTCCAACCAGCTCTGTGTGCAAGTCACCGAAGGGATTTCCCTGGCCTTGTATGAAAGCCCCAAAGTTCTGGTGACTGCCTCAAAGTGGCCATACCCGTGGTTGGACCTACCAGGAAGGGATATTATCGAAGCGCCGGCTCATCTTCACGGACCGGTTGGTTTACTTCCAGTGCAATGAGATGCACGGCAATGAAGTCTTATCGGTCCCGCTTCGTGGCGCGGCTGATTCACTCGATACCGACGGCCAGCATAATCCGTTTGACGACATCCGTTATACATCCTTTGAAAGCAGAGAGTCAAATTTTGGATCTATATTCCCACGTCGAGCAGCTGACTGGTCAAACCCCAGCACCGTTTTGGAGAGAATCAAAGCGTTCTCAGCAAGACGGCTTGCTTTTGATACAGACACTCTGGACGCCGTCACCGGTATATTTGGGAGATATTGTTCCAAAACGCAAGATCAGAACATATCGTTCTTTTGTGGCCTACCCATTATTCCTATTCAAGTTGATCCTGGGTCCTTGATGTTTTTGGCTTCCAGGTGCGGACCTGGAAGTATATTGGGGGCCTGCTCATTTCAACAATTGCCTCCAGTTCCTATCGGCAAGCACCTGTGCCATTCCATCCCCAACGGTTTAGATCCGTCTTCCGGCAACGATATATCCAATAAACTGACCTACCAACTGGTTTACAGTCTCCTCTGGTTCGACAAGTGGGAGCTTCAAATTTCAGAGGGGATACCAGCAAACTGGCAAAGGGCGCAAAGATCAGTGTTTCCAAGTTGGTCATGGGCTGGTTGGAAGAAATGTTTACCTCTAATAGAGCATGAGAAGGCAGTAAGATTCCACTTCATCTTCGACACTTGTACTACGGTACATGTTGAATTTGAAGATAAAGCGGGAATTGTGCAGAGGCTGGAACGGGAGGCACAAAACGAGGAGATATTGAACTTAACACACCAAAAAGGCAGGATCCCAATGTGTCTGATTCTCAAGGGGACGGTGTTTGATATAACGTTGAAGCTGACATCGCGATTTGCCCTATCGACCGAGCTGGGCACATGGCAATATACATGGCCACCATTCCTTGAAGGAGAAGAGATATTCTGCGAACCCCTTGCTGTGTTTGACGACAATGAACATCAAGGGGGCAACAAGAACAGTTCCACCGGGGGAAAGCGCAACGAAGAGGTCAGATTTCTTGGCCTGTTGCTGGCAATGGACGCTGGCGAACCCTCTCGTCATTCCTTTTGGATAATGATGCTGAGGCCAGTTAAGGGAACGATGAACGGAGGGGCAGACAAAATGTACGAAAGAGTGCATTTAGCGCGTGAGACACTCAACAAGGATCGCCACGAACAGGTTTGGTCCGCATTACCGCGGTGTCTGAGAGAAGAAGAGGTTCGATTGTGTTGAGTTGCAGGATGGTGATACCGGCCCGTATAGTGAGCGATCCACATCTCTCCCAACTTCAATCTTTTCTCAACATTGTCACTTGAAGATAGCACAGGATCTTAAAAAGACCCTCCTTCTTTCCCGTACCCCTTGATTTTGGGCTCATATTTGGATCCCCTCGTTTAACCTGAGGACAACACTGTCCAGTGATGCCTCGTGCTGCATAGCTGCCTGTGTCGGGCTCGCGAAGTTAGCCCTTTGGTTCGTCCATGCCGCGAAAGGAGCTTCGGAAAATGTAGGAGGAATTCGTTAGGCGCGTCTGTAGCCTAAGATCTTTCGCATTTCGCTGATCAACCTTCTGATCTCATTCAGCGCTTCGTCGATAGCCTTTCTCAATTTATGTAACGCACAACCCGAAGCTTGCTGGGTTACCCCGAAAGCGTTAGCAACCAGCTCACGTGGTAATCAAAGGTTTGCGCTGAAGTTTGGTCAGACGTACATCCGTGTGTGACGAACCGTTACAAGCACAGGAGTATTATCGCTGGGATAGAACAATAGAGTAACGGAGTAGTAGCCAAAAGGTACTGGTAAGTTGTGATAGCTATTGCTTGCTGGAGATCCGGTAACAGGAGGCCTGGGAAGGCCTTCTTTTATACCGGCCTTCCTGGACCCGACATACGGACCCGTGGACCCGAGCCTTTCGGGTCCGTCTATCTAGCTAGCTTACATAACTCTGGTTGGATCTTAACACCGTGGAGGGAGATACTTTTGTGATAGCCCCATGGGTTGTGATAGAATCTTGCATCGGGCCGGCTGTTAGCCTGTTACTCGATTCTCAAAGTTCGGTTTGAAAGAGTTGCCTTACCAGCCACTTCAGTAAAATTATCCAGTCAGTGTTTCGGTACACAAGGGGTTGGTCATGTCCAAGGTCTCCAGGCAGAGAGCATTTGTGAAGAAAGTAGTAATGGTATAAGGGAGTAGCTTCTCAAATTCTCCGGTCTTGGTGACCAATGCCTTGATGTTTCCCACACACCCTGTTGACGTCGGCGGTCTCTGTCATGGCCACGATTTCTTGTCGCACAAATTTGACCCAATGCTCCACAATGTTGAGGCCTGGATGTGCTTCAGCATCGACGTTGAAGCCATTCTCGGCCAAACATGCGATATGATTACTCAGTTCTTCACCGAACTTTCTGGCATCGGCCACGAGCTTCCTGTGAGTCAATAGTTCGTCGCCATGTTGGGCATTTCCAGCTTGGTCTTCATTGGCAGACATTGCGGGCTATTCGTTGTTTCTTTCATGGGTTTTCTATTCGCTTTCTGGGGATCGCGTACTGATACTCATCGACGTGAGGTCGGAACGCTTCAAGAAAAGCCGCCGACATGATCATATTTGTATTCGCCAAAAGACCTTAGAGGCTCGGCAAAAGCACATATCTTTGTTAACCGTTGGCGCTCTTCTTGCCATGAAGACTGGATGTGAAGCTCTGGTGTCATGACGGATTCATTGTCATGTTGGACTCGAGAGCCAACGAGACTCGTCAAGTCCGCTAAAGCAAGCTGCCAACGGAGCCATCAAGTGATCCATGGGAGAGTCAGACGGAAGGCGAGGCCTTTGGGTTGTCGCGGGCTTGACTACCAACATCGAGATGTGAAACGGGGAAGGCTTTGACCTAGATTGTCATCAGTAGCAAGTTAGCACTCTTGCCATCATGTCACACGGACATATGCTACACTCCTGGTGGCATACGGGCATACGCTACACTCCTGGTGGCATACGGGCATATGCCACACTCCTGGTGTCATACGAGAAAGACCTACATGTATGCAGATCGCTAGATGCCTTGGAGCATCAGGTGACAAGGACCCGTACATACTAGATAGGTACCGTTTCCCTTTGGCATAAGAAGGCCTTGAAGCCCAGCCTTCCTCTAGAGGTTGAAAGGACCAACAAGGCCTTCGAGACCAAAGTAGTTTATCAGCGGAATTGAACTACTGTTCCAAGCCCAGAACGTGCACTCAGACTTATGTAACGTTCTTTTATTCCGCCAAACTCAATAGCTCTCCTATAGTTTGACAGAGTTGTTAAGTACCTACGCACCTAGGTACAAGTAGGTAGGTAGGGGTAGGTATGTTGTTGGCACCTCAGGGCCTCAGCTCGCTTCAGTCCTTTCCCCAAGCATACTCCTCCCCATTCCAGTTCTCCTCCCATTCATTGATACCACTGGCACACGAGAGACACACTTCAACCGTCCCCTACTAAGGTAAGGTAGTAAGAATTGAGCCATCCAGTCCCTGTTCTTCTTTACATCTAAGAACTATGTCCTGTGCTCTGAAAGCCAGTCAGCCATCATTACCATCACCATATCCCCCATACATCGGCATCTCGGAGCCAAGGAGTACTCACTGAGCTTTCGCATCTGCATCTAGCAAGTCTTGCCGTTGAAGAACCAGTTGCATCCCATCTGGTTGCAGTTGGCGCAGTTGCACCTGCCGCCTTGGCAAGCGCAGCTGATACCACAAGAGCCACGGGCTTCGAGGGCGGATTCCGGGTTGGGCTCAGCAGCAGGAGCGGCGAGCGCAACGGTAGCGAAGAGGAGGGTGAGGGCGGTGGTGAACTTCATTTTGGTAGGTATGTGGTGCTGTGCACGTTGTTGGTTTGGTAAGTAGTGAGGTGTTGATGTGTGAGCTTGGTGAGAGCTAGGAGTGGGAGTGGGAGTGGTTGGCTGTGAGGTTGAGAGTGATGCTGCTGCTGATGATGATGAAGAAGATGATGATGATGTTGAGATTGAGGATGGGGATGACAACATCCTTTTTATACAACTCTCACCCCTAGTCACTCCCCGTTGCTCTTTACCAGTACCAGTCCTGACTACATACACACCAGCCAGATTTAGTCAAGGGCTTCGACGGGATACTCTTCCGGAACGATGTTGGTGTCTTGCTGCCTAGTCTTCCAGACTTGATGAACGGCTGCCTGCCCGCTTCTTTTCTTTGGCTTCACTTCCACCATTCACTTCGGTGTACCTTACTCTAGTGAGCGATAAGTTCTTCGTACCTTAAGGTAAGCAAGAGTCACGGAATGGCGTCCCGTCGGTTGTAGTCTGAAGACATCCATCCATCATCCATCCATCACTTGTTGATACCCCTCTTTTGCGGCCGGGTCGAAGACTCAAAGGTGCTGTTGGTGAGGTGAGGTTACCTCTAGAGGTAGGTAGTGTATACTTTGAGTAGGTAATGCTGTAGTACATCCAACTGCATAAGAGGTCCTACCATAGGTTCGAGGTCGAGCTTCCAATCCAATCCAGAAAGAGAGATTTCTGCATCCTGGCTCAAATAAGGTAAGGTAGGTAATCGAAACTTGCCTCAGATTGTAGGTACTAGGCGAAGACACATCCTTGAGCGGGCAGTGCCTACCATACCGTGTAAGTAATGACCATGACATATAAAAAGGTAAAAGCGCAGACACTGAGTTATGCGCTTGACAAAATAGCCGCCGGAAGTTAAGAGTTCGTATTACTTCCTTACCTTAGGGTGGTGACCGATTACTTCGTTTTACTGCTTCCCCGCGTTCCAGTTAGGCAACCAAATAAACGAATCAAGCGAAGTAAACGAGTAAGGCTCTCATGTCAAAGCCCCTACCCGTGCCACGCCACGCACGGCCACGGGTATAGAGAGGGCATTTTGCGCTCCCGGTCGTTGAGTCGTTGGCGTTAGCAGAGGACTCAGGACGGGGTGCAGTGACGGAGCATCTCACGACCTCACCTGCATAAGACGGTCCGATGACCCGACGTTAGGCGCGGCCGCGCGATGGATTCACATCACTCGACTGATCAAAATCCCTAAACTTCATCTGACTGCACTGCGCCGCGATGCGGGGGTTACATGCGAAGGATGAACTGACGTTGAGCTGGACAGGGATTCGACCAGACCATCAGCCTCAAGAATACTACGACAGATGTCCTCCACCAAATTAGCGGCGCCGAGACCCGAAGGTCAACTTGGTGTGGTGTATGCTTATGACTGACTGGAAGGTTGGGCCAAACGCACTTGGTTGACGGCCTAGCAGTGTGTTTTATGTTGTTGACATAGGTTTCCTTGGAATTGGAGTAAGTTACACTCTTTGTCGTTGGATTAAGCTTGTTAGATGAACTCGTTCGTGGGCTGTTGGTGCTGTTGAAATAAGGTTCGCAATTGAACTTCTTACCTGTAGTTGGTGCAGTCGAAATAAGATGTTTGTTTGTTGTGGTGTTGTGTCCCGAAAAGGTTGTTGGTCTCCGCAACGGGTTCAAATCAATTGCTGGGCTCTTCAAAACCTTTGTTGGTCCTGGACCCCTGGTTCACCCGTTCGCCCTCCCTTGCCGCCTTGGAACGTTAGAGCCAACAAACATCTTGAACTGGGGACAAAGGACTTACCTTAACCTGACGACCTCGGACTCTCATTCTATACACGAGTCATCAGCAGCACAGAACCACAATACCAAAGCCCGTTGTCAAGATCAAGCTGAACTCGCTTTGATATTTGCGTTTCATGCCTATATAACAATAATAGGCTATACAGTCCACGAACAATGTCCCTAATATACGTGCCGCTGATATTTCCCACAACCTCCCGTACAGTCCTCAAAACAACGCCCATCTCGGGCAAAAAGAAATGTATGGGCGACAGCGTAATGCGGGAAATAACCCCCAAACGCCGAGGAAGGAAGGAAAAAAAAGGAAATCCGTACGCTATGCAAGAATAATAGAATAATGAAAAAAGAAAAAGCCAAGGTCAGAATTCCCTACTGCTGCCATAATATTTAGCCAGTCACAAACCAGACACAAACCCAGGTCGGAATCGGAATCATCCCCCAAAAATGTTGGAGTAGGTAGCCCACTGAGGAATGTTCCGTCCTCGCTGAAACGGACTGACATCGGACAACGGCTCGGCTTCAGATTCCTCTTGTCTGATCTGATTGGACTGTTGCCGAACCGGTTCATCTTCCCAGACCTGAACCTGACCAGAACGCTGTCTAACATGGGCACTAGAACGCTGTGAAATATGTTGCGGGAAGCCGTTTGTCCAGAATGGAAACCCCATGTTGACCGTCATATAACGAGGAGGGATATTCGGTGATATGAACGCGCTGTTGTCGACCCTCGTCCAGGGAGGACGAAGAAGACCTGCGATACGGCGACGGGCTTCCACGATGCGGCGATGAGCGTTCATGACACGTTGTTCCTCCAAGTGAATTAGTGTTTCCAAGAGACGACGCACCTCCTCCCGTATTCTTGTCATCTCCTCTTGCAACTGGGTCGGCCCCATGTCGGCTCTGGTCCTTTGGTACTGACGTTCCCACCAACCTGCGCTTCCATCGACAATGGCAGGTTGTCGAGGCCGAGGATTATCAAGTAAAGGGTTATGTGTCGGAACGGGTTGTTGTGGTCTAGAATGGATGGCAAGAGGGTTCTGTGTTCCAAAAAGTTCCGATGCTGGTCCGGAATATTGAGTGTTTTGCCCCCACATGGTACGACCAAGCCAAGAAAGTGATTCATCAAAGGGTTGTCCCCAAATGTGTTCCAGTACAGCATTATCAGTAATCCTCGCGTTTTCAGGTCTCGTGGGTGATGGTCTGAGAAAGCCCCCAGATCCAGTCGGAGGTCGTAAAGGTTGTCGGGTTGGTTGTGGAATTCGTCGATTAACTCCTGCAGAAGATGGCGTGTAAGGCGGGTTTTCAGGTCTCGTGGGTGTTGTTCTGAGCAAACCCCCAGCCCCAGTCGCAGGCCGGAAAGGTTGTTGACTTGGCCTTGAAAATTGTCGGTTGGGTTCAATCCTTGGGGTTTCAGGTCTCGTGGCTGGTGCCCTGCGAAATCCCCCACCCCAAATGGGAGGTCGTAAAGGTTGTCGAATTGGCACTGAAATTTGTGTAGTTGGCAATGCAATTCGTCGGGTTGGCAATGTAAATGGGCGGTTAGACCCTGCAGGAGACGGCGTGTAAATTACTGTCCCGTTCGAGGACACCTCCGAGCTTGGTGGTGAACCCGTGGATGAAGAGGCCTCCGACGAACATATTGATGAAGCCGAGGATACAGAAAATTCAGAAGCGATGCTGACCGTCGAAGACCAAGACGAAGACGAGCTCGAAGACGACACCATGCTCGAAGATGAACTGGGACTTGATGGCTCCATCGTAGCCATCAGAAATTCGTCTGACCCAAATATGTCAGGGGGTGGCCCGCCTCCTCGCAAATTCATAAACGATTCCAAGGCTTGTAAAGTGTTGTCGATGGTAGGCGGGAAACGAAACGAGGGGTTTTGTGGAATAAGTGACTAGCGTTGAGCGTCGATGGGACCGCCTTCTTCGACAAATTCGAAATCGTTTCCGACAGCTGTGTCGTCTGTTTCCATGTGTCCCTAAGCTCCATAGTCCGAGTTCGTAAGCTTGTCGTCGCCGTCCAGCACCCTGTTTGTCAGAAGTCAGCATATGAGGCTTTTAGGAGAAACGGACCACCACTTACGAGAATTGCTTCACAAGATACCCCTCCCCGCCCTTCTCCATATCAATATTGTAGACATAAAACCCGCCATCGCTGGTAACAACCATAACCTGCGGCGAGCTACTGCTCATCGCCACCACGCTTCTCAACGGCGTTGCGCTCAGGCCGCCCGTCCTGCTGTTGGAAGACTTGGGGATCTTGATAAACGCAAAGTCTCGCTCGGGCTCCCACATCTCCGCCACCGACGTCGGGAGGTACGAGCTAGCTACGCCAGCCACTCCGCGGACCATCATCTGCGATGACCGCCTAAGCATGCTGCTGAAGGACCCGCTTGGCTGTCTCCTATGACCACCACCACTACCAGAGCCAGAGCCGTTGTTGCCGTTGCTCGCGGATGGTACATCGCTATAGTTGTTGTGTGAGGAGGGATCGTTGACGTCAAAGTTTCGTGACCGGGCTCCTCCTCCTCCCTGCGCCGCACCACCACCACTTTGCAACATATTCTGGTTGTTCTTCTGTGTGTTGAGGAGACGGAAGATGTGTACGGTATCCGAAGTCGACGAGACGCAGAGGAGCGTGGAGCTCAAGTTGAAGGACATGCTGTAAATCGAGGTAGGAACCGTGCCCCTGCGGAACTGGAAGAGCTTTTGGCCCTGAGGAAGCGAGAAGACGCGGATGATGGTGCCTGTCTCGGAAGCAGTGGCGAGCATGCTGCCGTCGTGGTTGAGGGCGATAGCGCAGAGAGGGGACTTGTGGGCCTCGACAACATTGACAGTCTTGAGGTTAAGGGCATCGTAAACGAGCACATCGCCGCGCTTGGGCGGGGCGTATTGACTTGGGGGCGGCAGGTGGGCGGGGGCCTTGGCACCGACGTCCTCTCGCGGGTTGGGACGAGGGTAGACGAGATAGCAGGAATCGGACGAGGGAGATAGGGCGCAGATGGCGTTGGGGTTCGGCGAGGTGTCGATCGTTTGGACCAGGTTCATGTTGGAAACATCGTAGAGGTAGATCTGGCATTCGAGCACCACGGCTAGGCGTTTACGGTTCAAGCGGACAGCTAGGACGGCGGATGGGAAGGTAAGTTCGCAAATGACGGAAGCTCTCTGGGTTGGTAGAAGGGGCCGCTGCATTAGTCTAAGTTCCCTGGGGGGTAAACACTGGCGGTACTGGGAGGGTTGGTCTACCTTGGTGTTCTGGATCTCGAGCTGTCGAGGTGTAAGGATCAAAGCTACCAGCGAGGTGGAAAAGAGCATCTCGATAATGGACACATTGCCCTCGTCGCTGCTAAAGATCTTGGAAAACGGATCAGTGTGGTAGAAGCGAAAGCCCTTGGAGGTGCCAACAGCCAGACAGCTGTAGTCCTGGTTGAAGGTGATGAAGTTGAGGGTGCCTCCCGTCATGGCGGCGGTTGCTCCCTTGGGCAAGGGAGAAGATGGGCAGAGAGTATCAGGAGGTCAGTACAGGGCGAAGTGAGTAAATGATACGTCTGGGCGTTGTCGAGATGGTCCAAAGCCAGTCCAATAAGTGAACCTGAAAGGCCAATACAATAAGGGATGGAAATGATCGGTTTGGTCGGATGTTCTTTCTAGGTTGCCTTCTTGTCGGTCCAAGCACAAAGGACGGAAGAGGGCAGGTAGATTAGGTAGGCAGCAACGGCCAAGTGAGCTGCCAGATGAGCAGCCGCGAGTGGATTGGCAAGAGACGGATTAAGGGAGGAAGGGAGGGAGTGGAAGCCAATAATGAGCTCTTGAGGAACTGGCAAAGCTCAAGGTGGAAATGTGGTTTTGTTGTAAAGAGGAAGAAAGAAGAAAGAAGCTACCAAGGCGGCAGAACAGAAGGGTTGGTGTTACCAATAGCTTGCGTTATCACTTATCGCTGCCAGCCTGGATGGAGTGCGGTGAAAGTAAGTCAACGGTCAAGTGTGCAAGTGTAATCACCCACCCGACCACAGCCGCTGATGAGCAACCAGGAGGGTGATCGGCGCTAAATTCAACCCTCAGCCTAATAAAGCCCGGACCATACGATCACGTCCGGTGGGGCTAGCGGGGTACCCATTTCTCGCACCTTGCTGGCTGCTGCAGCCTTGACGTCTCTTATCGTGAAGTCTTGTCGGTCACTGTCTTGTCGACCAGGGATACCTACACCTCTAGGATCTCTCTTCATGGCAATAGACAACACTCACGTACCACCAGTATCAGTCAGGATTCTGGTTTCCTTTAATACCATATCAACATTATTCTTTGCCGGATATACTATAGCATAATGACCACTTTCATCAGCTCCTCCTCCTCTTCTTCTTATTCCTCTTCCTTCTCCTTGTTGCGCGCCTCGTTCAGCCATCCTCAAGACAATGGCCGTTCAACAAGCACATCTCCGGTTATTATGATACTACACTCTGCTCGATCGCCGGCTTCAGGCTCTCTTCTGCCCCCTTGGTCGTCCCCAAATGACCCATAACAACCCTACCCTAGAATAGTTGTTGACTTCAACCAGTCCTCGCCTTACCCAATACGTCTTTACTCCTATCAGTATCACCTAACCATGATATTCCTAAACGACTCGGAAATATCGCTCGCCGTCGGATTCTCATATCTCTCGGGACGAATCGACACACCCTGCGAAAGCCGTTCCTCCATCATCTTGAGCAACACCGGCGGGACCGCCTCATCAGTGGCTCTAATTGTCAACCGAACCATCTGCACCATCACATCGTTAGTCTTTTGTCCACCAAGTTTCAATACAAGAACTCGAAAAAAAAGGGAAAACGTACCTGAGTCCCATAATTAGGCTCCAACCGCATCAAACACCCAAACTTGCCTCCCTCGCTGGTATGCACCACGCTCGCGCCCACGAAATTCTTGCTGTTCGGATCAACGTTATACATTAATCCCCATCGGAACCCTTCCAGCACCTGCCTGATGAAATTCTCCGTGATCTCCCTCTCGCCATCCTTGGGGCCCGCCAGGCCAAAGATCCGCTGCGCCTCGCGCGGCGCTCCACCAATTTGCTTCCACCGCTTGAAGAAGTCGTCTGCTGAAAGCTCGGCTTGGTCCATGAACTTGTGGATGACGACGGGGAGCTTGAGGGTAAGAGCCTGTAGCGCACCGGCAAGGTAGGAGATGCGCACGGTGGGTGCTTTCTCAAAGACGCGCTTGGCTTCGAAGACGACTACTTGTTGCGTTTGTGCACCTTGGTAAATGGTCGTTTCGGGAAGGCCCTTGACGTCCCAGGAGAGATTGGCGCGTTCCGAGGAGTCCAAGTCCAAAGTGGTGGTGAATGAGCCGATGACTGCCGGCGTCTTGTTGGTGAAGTAGAGGATGATGGCCGCCATTTGGCCGCGGTATTCGGCGCGCACGCCGACTTGGATTTGTCCGTCTTCGAAGAGGATGCCGTCGGCACGGAGCAGGAGACGGTTGAAGCCCTTCTCCCATCCGGGGGAGAGGTGAGCGGCGCTGGCGAGGTTGGGCGGCTTGATGACCTTGGCTTCGGCTGGGCCGATGTTGTTCATGTCCAGACCGGCGAGGTCGTTGGCGGATGAAGAGCCGTTGGTGGCTCCTCCGGCAGCCGACGCCGCACCACCGCCGTTTGTGGGGGCGGTCTTGGTGCTGAAGGTCCGTCTGAGACTGGCCTTCTTGGCTAAGCTGAGCTCTGCATTATCCGCGTTGGCGTCCTTGCCACCGACGATCCAAGTCCTCTTGTCGCTGGTGTTGGCGTGCTTCTGGTGTAGCCTGGAGAGCAAGGCGGATTCTCTTTCGGGGAATGGTGGCATTTCGTCGCAGATCGTTCGAAGGAGGTCGTCCGTGGGCATGCTTGCGATAGCCAGGAACTCGCAAGCACGCTGTTGCAATTCCGCATCGAGTGTGTGGCTGTAAATGTGGAACACGTTGACGAGCTGCGGCTTGATTTCCGGAAACAAGTTGACGAACTTGATGAAGCACGAGAGGATCATGGCTCGTGTGCTAGACGAGCAGGCAGGGAGCTTGCCTTGAAGGGCCAGGAACTGCTCTATAGGACTGGAGCCTCTCTCCTCGGCAATGAGATGGCCGAACTCACCGAGGATATAGGCACCGATCTTGACGAGCGTCTCGTGGCAGTGGTCCTGCTTGCAGTACTGAAGAATATTTTGAGCTGCGTACACCTGTAGCTCCTCGTTGTTCGTAACAATCTGGGTCACTCGCTGCCAGACTTCGTCGCTGACATGGTCGCCAGCCATAGCAATCAGGCGCAACGAGATGTCGACATACCACTGAACGTCGGTGGCGTACTTTTCGGTAAGAATGGCGATCTTGAGGACCATTTCCTCTCGGATCGCAAAGTCGGCGTTCTGCAGGTAGTGTAGCAACTCGGCCACAATCTGCTGGGCATTCGACGTGTCGCACATGCTGTACAGCAAGTCAAGACCCTTCCTCCGCACACTGATATCCCTGTCCTTCAGAGAGCCAATAATCACATCTTGATGCTGCTTGATCGGCTCGAGGGTGTCGGTTCGTGCTGCCAAGTGCGTCATGGCCTCGAGACCGAGATAGCGGACGTTCGTCTCCCGCGACTGGATGAACCGGCCCAATCTCTGGGAAACCTGCTTCATGAGGTCATGCTCGGTATCGAGGTGAATAATGAGGTTAATAGCCTCAAACAGAACGGCGTTTTGGGCATTGTTCTGCTGAACGTTCTTGTTGCTCTCCAAAGCCAGGTTGAGGATCTTCTGCAGTGAGTCCCGAATCATCGACCGAACATGGCTGTCCTCGGATGGCGGGAAGTACTGCAGTAATCGTAGAAGCTTGACCTGGATCCACGGGCAAGGCACCTTGTAGTACAGGTAGTCCTGACTATACTCGTTATCGATGAGAATCCGTTTTAGCCTGGCGGCGGCTTTAACATAGGCGCCCTTGTACTGCTCCGTGTTATCCTGCGCCAGCGCCATGACAAGGGATGTTACCGATAATGCCACGCCCATGTCGGTATCGTCCATTAGAGATATTATGCGTTCCGCCCATTGAGCCTGGACGATATCTGGGTATTTGCGGTAAAGTCGGAGTAGTGTGAGTGCCGCCTTTTTCTTTACGAACGCCTTCGATGTTCTATAATATGGGTGTCAGCATAACAAAAAATGCGCCGCTTCCTGATATACAGAAGGTCCACGTACGGAGAAATCAGAAGCCTGTGAACTTCGGGACTCAGCGCTTCACCCATCTCCTTGCCGCCGACGTTCGCAATGGCGTGCAGCGCCAAGCAGTTGAACAGCTCGTTATGATCCATCAAATCCTTGCGAATGCTGTTGACGACCAAGTGTAAGAGCTCGTGCTTCTCGTGAAGGAATAGCGTCATAGCGAGGTAACCGATCTGCTTTTCCGAGTATTTGGTCGCCGAAATTAGATTAACGGCCTCTAGATGGCCAAAGTCGACGTTCCATCCCAGAATGTAGATATAAAGCAGCTATATTTATCGAGGATTGGTTAACCATCGTCATATCCTTTCTTGATCTTGCTGGCGCAAGTGGGTGGGCGCTCAGCTCAGGGGTTCGTGGGCGCGGGCATACGGCGCATCGCATACCTTGCAAACGTATTTCTTCTTGTGATAACCGCTCAGGTTTCCGTCCCTGAACTTTTGACGAATGTTGGCCAGC